AATAATAATTCAAATTAACTATTTGGACAAAATTTATTGAAAATAAAGAAAATTCGGCCTATTAGGCAAATCGGGCCTAATAGGCCGAATGTACTATGTACTTCCATAGTAGGTCGAGAAGTACATTCTGGCTACTAGATATGATAGATATATATATATGTTGTACCTAGTAGCCAGAACGTAGTACTCGGCCTAATATGCAAGGCCCAATTTGCCTAATAAGCCACGTTTTCCTGAATTTATATAGTTCTCAATTTTTTCTTATGAAATGGTCGACGGTCCGAGCGACAATGTTGTAGAGCGACTTTTCCAAGATACATTGTTGCCTAAAGAGTACTTGCTGGCATATCAGCCTCCTGTACCTACCTTACCTAACAAACCTACCCAACATAACCTAACAAAATCTAACCTAACTAAACCTAACCTATCCAAACCTAAGTTAATATAACCTGTATGCAACAATATATCTTGGATAAGTCGCTCCACAACATTGTCCCTTGGACCGTCGATTTGCTTTGGCGTCACCGGCAGCTTATTTTCGTCTAATTTCGTTATGAAATGATACGTTTTTATAGTAAAAATATGTTTTTTCTATGTTCTACATTCAGCACCAACATTATAATGAGTAAATATATCATATTTATTCATTACTAACTTAATGCCAGGAAGCTTTGGGTGGCTTTGAGTGGCTTTGGTAATTAGACGAACCGGAATCCACTAGGTAGGGTCTGTCTAATTACCGCAAGCTACACAAACTTTACAAAGCTTCCTGGTAATACGTTAGCAATGAATAAATATGATATGTTAGGTTAGGTTGACCTAACCTAACCTAACCTAACCTAATCGACACTTGGATCGTGGACTTGATTTGGCGTCACCAGCTCTTTATTTTCGTCTAATTTCTTTATAAAAAGATACTTTTTCAGACTAAAATTATGTTTTTTCGTGTTGTACATTCAGCACCAACATTATAATGAGTAAATATATCATATTAATTCATTACTAACGTATTGCCAGGAAGCTTTGTGAAGCTTGTGTAGCTTGAGGTAGCTTCCGGTAATTTGATGGACCGTTCCTGAGAACTCTTCAGTGTTCACCCTTTCTTCCACTCACATGTCCTTAAAACACCTCCCTGAACATTATTACCAAGCACTGTACTTTTGTCACTTGCTAGCGATAAAACTTATCACATGCCTCTGTATGACTGGTCGAACCCTTGTTAGAATCTGACCAGATCGTCAATTGGGGCAACCCACGTGCTGCCCCCCCCCAACAACGGCTGCCAAAGCCAAAATAGGCGAACGCCTCAAGAATATTGTTGAAAACATCTTGAATGCACTTGATAATCTTGATAACTTATTAAACCGAAAATCCTAAATTTTTTAACATTAGGTTAGGTAAGGTGAGGTTAGGTTAGGTCAGTGTTTTACTACTGCGCCATGGGGACTTCATATCTATGAGGAAATTTCGAACGTTAAAATCGGCGTTCGCCGATTTTAACGTTTAACGTTTTTTTTATCATTTTTAACCTGACCAAATCGGCGTTCGCCTATTTTAACCCGGGCGACCACCGCGGAAACGCAACACATGGGCTGACCCAACTGCTACTTGGGTCAGATTTCATTATGGTCCGGAACAGCTTTAATCCATATTGGTGTTCTGTCGATACAGCATTCTCTCTTTCAAACTATATACACTAATGGTTCCCTACACCGCCCCACGGGTGTACCTGGAAGTGCAGTTGTCCTGACAATGGGTGATGGCTTGTATTTTGCGTGGAGAGTCACTATAAATAACTGGGCCTCTACCCTTCAGACCAAACTATTTGCCTTGCTTCTTGCACTAAAATGTTTACATGTCTCCAAACTTGTTACATTAATTGTAAGTGTCTCATTACCATCCTCAATTGCACTCTAGTCTTTAAGAAATAACTGTAATATGCTCGTGTCTGAAGCTAGACAAATACGACAGTTATTAATGATGGTAATTAACAGAGTCCATTTCATGTGGATTCCATCTCATGTTCGCTCCGAATGCGTGATAGAACTCATGAGCTAGCTGAAGAATCTGCCTTTAAAGGAGAAATTGAGTATAACCTTGGGTTGCCTATAAACACTTTAGAGCAATAATAAGCCAAGAACTTCAACAAAATGTTGTAGATCTGAGGCAAAGTGAAATCGACACTAGTAATACCATTTATCATCACACTATCATGCAAGAAGAGCTACACACACATGTATGGATTATCCAATAAAATCAGCAGACTCCAAGATGTTACTACTGCTAGGCTTAGACTCTGCTATAAGTATCTCTGGCAATGTTTATTTCCTGTTAATGTAGACCTGACCAAATGTAAACTGAGGTCAACAGAATTCGCACACCATGCGAAAATATACGTGAATTCAGAGACAATTTTATAACAAATGTTCAAGAGATGTGTCAATATTTAATTCAAAATGATCCGCTACCAGAAATTTTAGCCAAATATCCCCAGTTTAATAACTATAGGTTGTAACTGAGTGGCTGTAACCTATCCACCGCTGCCCATTGGATGCGGTACGGTGTGCAGGATATGGACACTGCTTGAATTAAAGCAGAGAAATTTCTGGGGGAAGAAAAACCTATGAACGGCGCTTTGCGGCACGCGCCGCGCGCGCAACAAGTGGGGGGAGGTCATTGCCAGAGATACTAGATTTATTCCTCCAAGGAGTGCCGGACCAACCGGGCTGTGGTGGGTATGTGGGCCTGCGGGCCGCTCCAAGCAACAGCCTGGTGGACCAAACTCTCACAAGTCGAGCCGGGCTTGGGGAGTAGAAGAACTCCCAGAACCCCATCAACCAGGTATCAACCAGGTATCAACCTCTGTTCACCTCTAGTCGCCGCTGGGTTCACAAGCATACCAGTTGACACTAGCTCTTCACATGTCAGTTGCTTAATTTAGGAACTATACTTGTGGTCGGTCCCGAGCTCATTGTTGATGTCACGATGGACATAAAATATTGTAACTAGTTCATCAAGACTGTAACTTGCTTAGCTAAATTAATTTTGAGGTCCAGTCCCTGAGCCCATCATGTGCCTCTGTAAACCTTTCCACTTCCGCCCACAGGATTGGTATGGAGTGAACATATCCACAAGGGCCGTGATGAAGATTCGAACCTGCGTCCGGGAGCATCCCAGACGCTGCCTTAAACGACTGAGCTACGACATGGTCCTAGCTACGACATGGTCCAAAGACCATGTCGACCAACTTGAAACCCCCCAGACGCAGGTTCGAATCCTCGTCACGGCCCTTGTGGCTTTGTTCATTTGATACATCACGCTATTGTGATTTCTGTGTGTCGGTATGGAATGCATAATAAATGAACTAAACTAAACTAACAATGATGTTCACTCATCAATGATGTTGGCGAGAGTAAATGGACATTGCTTGCAATGAAGTTGCAAGCGATGAAGTTTCTATGGGAAGGAAACACGAATATAATTTTGAGTCGACGTGCGCGCGCATAGTTGGGGCGTACTTAAGCGCTCGCCCAGAGGCCACTCCTACACACCACTTGGTCCGGGAGACATCTCCCGTCACGCAGGGTGCAGTCGCACCTCCACAGATCTCCAGTATCAGCTCTTGATACTGGTAATGGCTCAAAAGGGCCACCACTTACGAGCTATTCATGCCCGTGCCACCTTTTAGGTGGCTTCATCTTCATCAATCAATTCAATCTGTTTAAATCACGGAAGACATCTTCCGTCACGCAGGGTGCAGTCGCACCTCCACAGATCTCCAGTATCATCTATTGATACTGGTGATGGCTCAAAAGGGCCACCACTTACGAGCTATTCATGCCCGTGCCACCTTTTGGGTGGCTTCATCTTCATAACACATTCACAAGGGAGACATCTCCCGCCATGCAGGGTGCATTCGCACCTCCACAGATCTCCAGTATCATCTACTGATACTGGTAATGGCTCAAAAGGGCCACCACTTACGGGCTATTCATGCCCGTGCCACCTTTTGGGTGGCTTAATCTTCATCATCATCATCGGCCACTCCTGCAGAAGTTACGACCTCTCCGTAGGGTACAGTCGCACCTCCACAGATCTCCAGTATCAGCTATTGATACTGGTAATGGCTCCAATGGGCCACTATTTACCGGCTATTCATGCCCGTGCCACCTTGTAGGTGGCTTAATCTTCATCAATCAGTCGGCCGCTCCTGTGCCAGGTAAGTCTACTACGGGCTCACCATAGCCCGTGCTACTTGGAACTGTTGTTCCCAGTAGCTGAATCTTAAACAACATAACAACAAACTTCTGCCTCAGTCTAGTAGTCTCCTGCCTTAGTCTGCCATGGGTACAGCCTTGAATGCGGCAGGAATTTCAAAATATTCAAGAGATGCCATGATAAATAATAAAATAAAATACATAGTAAAACTACGAAATCTCCACTAATTTAAGCCAAACACGTCACGCCATAAAAACTGTATACTGCAAGAAATTACACTATGCGAGGCTGTAATGTATATTAATTAAGGACTGGTAAACCATGTTTGATTAGGATAAAGCTAAATAGATAAAATGTTCTCCGTACAGACCAGTACTCAACTTTGCCTTGAAATTGGATACATTGATATTATATTATCTTATTATAATTATATATTCTTGTTTTTGTTTAATTATTTTAACTTTTGAAAAATCTTTCATAAACAAACAAATTTTGTTTGCTACTGTAGCCTCACCATTATTACCTCGCTTAGATCATAATGTTCTAGGGAATTATATCAATGTTTAATTATATAACACTTATTACTTGAAGGATAAATACGGCCTACTGATACATTAACTTAAATTCTTTGATCATTCAAGTGTAAATGTTTTTTTTAATGCGAGTCCAAATCAAGAACAAATCTTGTGCCATTCCTCTACCAACACAAATTTGTATATTTATCATAGTGCTACTTTTATGTTTCAATGGTAGAAATTTGGTCAATGACACCAGATGCTCACCTACAATTGTCATCCGCTTGTATCCTTTCATCTGTGGGTCAGTTCCTACATCTTCCTCTTCACACCTGGCATGCATCTCTGGCTCACTGAAGGCCTGCTTCACTCCTCGGTCTGGCATTACATCCTCAAGCGATTTCTTATTTGCATCCTCCCTTTCAATTTCTTCCTGTTCTTTTTCTCTTTCTTCTTTTTCCTTTTCTTCTTTTTCTTTTTCTTCTTTTTCTCTTTCTTCTTCTTCTTTCTTTTTCTTCTTCTTCTTACTTCGAAATAAAGCATCCTGATAAAAAATAAAAATTTAGAGTTGATTGTAATGAAATGTCTGTGGCTGGTGGGCCTTCAGTAGCTTCCAAATGCTACACTCTGACATTACTCAAGCCTTGGGAGAGACACCAGGCCTCAAGCAAGGACATGAACACCTACTGGGGGCCAGGAGCAGAATATGACCTCTCTGTAGAGGCTAAGAGCTTCCCAAAGAACAGAGATCACCGCAGAACCGAGAGAAAAAAAATCACTAGAGGTATACAGTGCTCCAAAACAAGCAACTAGTTGGAAACATTTATAACACTGGCTCTAGCAACATAAGAAATCATTACCATGGCTAAATCATTGCCTAGTTATACTTGTTCGCCACTAGATAGGACCCCCAAACAAGCTGGAGCATCCAGCTAGCCAGTCAGTGCATTCATAAGCACCCAGGTCAATGGCTTTCAAACCTCACAGAAGAAGGGTAATGAGCGAGGTTGACGCAGGAACCTACACGCGACCATTTCTGCATCAGACACAACAGGGGAACTCCCAGAGAAGCCCACAAAACTTCAAACCCAGACAAGGATGGGACATTGAAACGAAAGACTGTGTTAGATTCTACAACAGGGAAGGGAGTAAGGAAACCATGTGTACCAACCCCGAGCACCCAGTCAGGCAGCAGAGACATGACAAGGAGGCGGGGAAAATACCTGACACTCGTACATAAAACTAGTTCCTGCACAGCCTCCTGATAATACAACAGGGGCTCAAACTATAAAGCACTCGAGCCAGAAACCGGCCACACAAGACAAGAGTGGCTGTCACATCAGAAGCTGCCCCCTGCAAGGTCCCACGCTTCTATCCTTTGTATGGATGCTCATTGACTATCATGCAACGAAACCTCATGGAAAGTTATTAATGTTCAAGATTTAATGACCAGCATTGATAATAACAGCGGTGTTTTGGCTAGTGTTAGCGGTGTACCTAGTGTTATCGGGTGACACTTTGCTTCGTCAGGTGCCGATTGTCTGAGGCTAGGCTGTGCATGGACAGCCAGTTCTGAGTTTATCATACCCACCAGAACTATTTAATGGTTCTTCATTGTGCATAAACATGTCGATAGTTATATATAATGTGTATATACTGTAGCGTGATAACAACATAAAACCAGCGTTGAATGTAATGAAACGCCAATTTCAGGGTAAAGCCCCGGAGGCTCCCTAAAGCTATCATGCACTGATCAGTGCCATGCTACTAGGTGCCATCAGCCGCGGAGTTCTCTTGGCCTACCAGGGATTACGAGCCAGAACCTGGCCCCCTCAGAGAGGTGAAGGGTGCGATGGCCTATGAACACTTTAAATGTAAAGGTAACTGCCACCACTAAATGTAAATAAATGTAAAGGTAACTGCCACCACTAAATGTAAATAAATGTAAAGGTAACTGCCACCACTAAATGTAAATAAATGTAAAGGTAACTGCCACCACTAAATGTAAATAAATGTAAATAACTGCCACCACTAGAGAAGCAACCAGAAAGTTAGGCAAAACAAAACAGACTACTGCATGGTTAAAACCTAAGACCGCAGCCTCAAAAATTGCCCAAAGAACTCCCCCAACAATGAAAACAAATCACCAAAATTTCATAAAACGAGCGTGAGCTAGTTTGCCCCACCTTTCCCCTCGTTTGGAGGGGCGGGCCCCACCACTGTCACTTCTACGATGATGAAACACGTCGACGCCCTGGAGAAGGGGAGGGTGTCAGGGAGCTTCCGGGGCTCACCCAGAAATTGCCGTTTCATTACATTCAACATTGGTTTTCTGGGGGGGGGGAGCCCCCTAGGCTCCCTGAAGTTAACTACCCACGGAGGACAATACAGGGCACTTACCAGGAAAAAGGCAGCATCGCAGGTATCATCTCGAGGATGAAACAGTCTGCCGTGACAGACGACCGAAGGCAACACAAGGCCGCTGAGGACCTGGGACGTTCAGAAGATACCTGGCTGTCAAGACCCTGTTCGACCATCAAACCCCCGCGCCTGAATATCAGCCCAAAATATATTAGCAAACACTGCCATCAGAGCGGCATACTTACAGACTTAAAATACAACAAATACAAATATTTATTCAGGTAAAGTACAAGCATACAAGGTAAGATACAAAAGTTGATGGATTTATAGATAGAGCTAGTACATACAATGCCTAAAGCCACTATTACGCAAAGCGTTTCGGGCAGAAACTTCATGGGCCAGAGGGTAGATCGCAGGCTGGCTAGACTTAATTACACTGCGAACGACCTGAGAAATACGAGCCCTGGAGCAGAGAACCAAGGAAACTGAATCAACCCAAAACGATTCCACCGAAGAAGAACCGGTAGCATGAAGGTAGCAGCGGAAAGCTGCCACCAGATGAAGCGCATGATGCACCCCCCAGCCGAACCATCGAAGCATCCACAACCAAAGGACCCTTCTTGAAGCCTGCCGACTCATTTTCGCCACAAAATAAGGAGCCGGTTACAACCTAACAAAGAGGCCACCAGGGCCAAAGGAACAAACCCCCCTGGAGCCTTACATGAGTATGAAGCTCACCAACCTGACAACTGGAGGCCAAAGACAGCAAAAACACTGCTATCATAAAACAATCCAGGACCAAAGGGGTCACCATAAAATGAACACAAGAAAGGACCAGACCAAACAACCCGGACCAAAGACCAGACCTTCTCAGTTGGTGCATGAGCAGGCCAGAGGTGAAATAAAGCACGAGAAAGCTTGCAAAATGGGGCCGAAGAATTGTTAACCCCAAACGCAAGAGGGAACAATTCCACCAACGCCTCATGATAAAGAGGCGACAGTATTCGGCATGATCGAGATACCGCTCGAGAAATAAAGAACAAAACAAACTGCTCGGAAACCAAAGAGCAGCTATGAAGGTAGAGAAAATGGAGAAAACACCGCCAAGAAAACTAATACTGTTGCCTGGAAGAAGACTGCAGGTGGGACACCAATAAACCAGCCAAGATCACCATACAGATGGTGATAAATACGCATCAAAAATGTTACAAAGAGTTGAGCGGAAGAAAAGGTAAAACCAGCAAAGTGTGTCACTTGCCCAAACCTCTGAAAGAGTTAGAGCCGCGGGAAAATGCCTGTGTTTGGACACCAAGCAAGCAGCGCCTGAAACCACGGCTGGGTTGGCCACCAAAGAATCAGAAGAATCACTCCCCCCCCCCCCGGCCCAGTTGTATTATTCCAGTTGTATTCCATATTCCATATTCCAGTTGTGCCAACACTTGGAGCAACAGCCGGACCTGGGGAAAGAGGTAAATGCACCCCAGTCTCGACCAGTCCAGCCAAAAGGCATTAACCATTACAGCCTCACAGTCAGGAAACGGTACCACATAAAGGGACAGATGCCAAGACCACGCCGACGTGAAGAGGTCGACGTCTGGGTGCCCGAACGTCCAGCGAAACCTGATGAAGGAAGCGGCATTGATTGTCTATTCCAAGGAAAGGGCAAGGAACTGGGACAGACCGTCGGCCAGGACGTTGGACACTTCCTGCACGTGACGGAGATGCAAAAAGACCCGCCCCAAAGAGCCAGGGACTGAAAAGACCCCCCCTCCCCCACCGCCCAGGTGAGACAATGAAGTACAGGGAAACAGTCTGAATGGAGCCGGATCAAACCCACTGGGTTGTTGTTGTTATAGCTTCAGCTACTTGGAACAAAATGTTCTAAGTAGCACGGGCTATGTTGAGCCTGTGGTGGACTTACCTGGCACAGGAATGGGGCTGTCTGACCCACTGGGGAAGGAAGAGGTGGTGTGGACACAGTTGAACTGACCAACACCCCCCAAATCCGAGTCCCTAAACACCAAGCGGGACAGAACAGGGGCAGATCAACCGGGCACGCAACCTAGACCACTGCAAAACATACAACCGTAAATGCAAAGCAGTCGCTGCCTGGAACCTCTGAACTTCAACAGAGGAATGAGTAAGACGGAGCACATGGGAAAACAAGACTAACATGACTTAGGGTCAAAGGTGTCACCGACCCAACGGGAAGCATGGCGGAGGCAGTACATATGAACGTCGCCAGGTGGCACAGGTGACGAACAACCCTCAAATTCACAGAAGGCGAGAGCGGGCTTGGAAGAAGCACCCATTGTTCAACCGAGCCCGTAGGGGTTTTCCAGGGCCTGTAGGATGAATGAGCTCTTCAGGAAGCCCAAGCACTGGGAATGCTACACAGGTAATCCCCGAAGTAACAGCTAGGCAACCCGAAGCCAACAGACAGGCCAAAGGGAGCGACAAGGGGGTTCAACCACACATACCCTAGGCAAGCCTAATAAGGCAAAAAAAGAACCCCCCCCCAAGCACAAAAAGGGCAAAGTAATAACTGAAAAGCAAAACTGAGAACGAAAAAAGTTCAAGACCAAACCGCGGAGAACGATCAAGCAGGGAGAAACGTCGGCGCGCCTATGTGTTAATTGAATACCTGGTCATGCAAACCCTAATGCGCCCCACCACCCAAAAATATCCCCAACCCAAGGGAAGACAGTCACAGACTACCGGCTTACCTGAAGGATGAGGAGGTCACTTACCCCTCAAATGAGGAGGTCTGCCCGAAACGCATTGCGTAATAGTGGCTTTAGGCATTGTATGTACTAGCTCTATCTATATATCGATCCATTAATGTAACATCACTTGTATGTATGTACCTTTCCTGAATAAACATATTTATTTATTTTTTTATTTACCTAAAGGGAGTGCGGCCCGAACATCCCAGGGAAGACAGCCGTGACCGCGCAAGGGTAGAGCTTAAAGAGCGCACAGGGAAGATAACCGTAAGCTCATGCGGCTCCAAGTACACTAAACTCCTGGATCACGCAGCACAAATACGTATAAAAAACAGCCTCAAACAGAGTTGCCAGAATCTGAATAGCCAAAGCCACGAATGTAAACAGCTGGTAACGCAATTGTGCCCCTCATAACCCAAGCAAGCAGGCTACAGAGCCAAAGAAGCAACCTTGCCTC